AATTACTGTACCTTGGTACTGTACTATGAAATTATAAGACTGAATAATAGCTCAAATATCTACCTGGCAAATATCTACCTGTCATAAATCCTTGGTGCTGACTAGAAAAGGAAAAATAATTAAATGCGTATACTATCACGTGTTGTTCTTCATAATTTAATCCCAATGTTTGTTGACATTTAAATGTACCACAGTAAGGCTTCTATGTTCTTTTACTCTGGAGGTCAAGAATGTCACTGACAAGACATTTTACTCTTATTGTTTTTGAAGTGATGATGGCTACAGGTTTTATATGGTAAACACAGAATAAAGGTCAGACATAGGCAAATAAAATTACTTGCATTCTAGACACCACTAGTGCCATTCAAACCAAATTCTATGGCTTTGGTCTGGGTTTTCTGAGACTGACCTTTTAATACACAAGGGGAAACGCTATCTGTACACTGTCATTGCACAGATAAAATACAATTATCTCAACAACGTATTTAAACTGAAAAAGGCAATTCAGTCAAATCTTCCCCTGAAGTCAAATGCTTACAACTTACAGTATGCATGTTCTTATGTCTATTAAAACTTAAAAAATATGTTACCAGCTACAGTTGACTTTATGTCTGTTGACACCAGGAGTCCTGAATAGCTCTTCTAGTGAAGTTTTCTGCCTCAAGTGAAGACAGAATTGTATAACCTTGAGATCGCTGCTACAAATCCAGCACAAGCTACAGAATTCTTCAACTGTGCCTGAAATTTCCTTGCAGCAGAACGTTAACTGGTTAATTGCTTGTAGGGCTGGGTGTGGGGGAATAGAGTTAGTAAGGGGATCCGGGGATTAAAACAGTTTAGGGGCTTGCAGGATTCAGTGCTATCGGGAAGAGCTCTGACAATAAAGATTTACTGTTTATGGCTCAGTCTGTGGCCTGGGCAATGTTTTACCTACAGTAGCCCTGTGTGAGTTCAGTGGTGGAATAACCACCACATTTTAATATATTTTAAAGGGAATAATAAATATAAAAATAAAGCAGCAAACTGTTACATGAATATAATGCTAATAATACAATGTATTATTCTAATATTGAAATTAGTTCACATAAATAATTATTTAATAACAATTATTAATGACTTCTTAATGGTAGTACAATTGTAATCCCATAACTACATATCTTAAACTATTAATTTGGATGTTGCAGGGATATTAATATTAAATCATCCATATTGTCCAAAATATTGTGTACTTTAACAAAGCTAAATTGAGAACAAAATGTTAAGTAGCAATGTAGTAACTTTTGAACCCTAACGTTTGGATTCTCTAAGTTCTGGATGAAGGTTCATGATTGGATTGTTACTATTCTGATACTCTTTGACCCCTTAAACATTGGTGGCTCTAGATGGGAAACCCCATGACTGACGGCAGAACCAAGCCAAACTGTCAGCTCAGATTTGCTTTCTGGTTACATCTGGTTGGGATGCATGCCATGCCTGGTCTCGTTGCCAAGTTAACACTGCCTGTCTTTGACATGCCCTAAATGAACTTCAACTTTCCATTATATTCCTTATAACTCGAGCTCGTTGAGCAACTCTCAAGTTCGTCAAGCACTGCGACGAAGGCCTTCAACAAATTCAATCAATCAATTAAATCAATTAAAAAGGGAAGAGGCCCCAGAGTGTTTGTGCCTCTGAATCTTTAAATTCTCATTTGTTCTTCAAAGCTACACAATTACAGCTTACCATGTGGTGTAGTTCTTCCTGGAGAATGACAATTTATTTTTTTCTAACGAACTGTAAGCAGTGAGTACCAAAAGCAATTTTGAGAAGGTACAGAATGCAGTATAATCTTTATTCTTATAGGTTTTTTATTCTAAACACAGCACATTCTCCAATATCAAGTCGAGCTTTAATATCATCTCATTTTGGTTTTATTCTTTTCTGCTTTTGCAAAAGCTTGTAATCTTTTAACTTTACACAGTATTCGGTTTTTTTTTCTTTTAATTACAATGTAATTTTTGCCAACAAAAGTTCTTGTAACAAACAAAATGTGAAACTGAATGTTTTGTAATTATGAACTATTCTCATAAATGTTTTATTTAATACATTTGTGTCTCAAAAATGCTGAGTGCCTGCTGTTAGAGGAAGCAGTGGTGTTTGGGACTGGGGTATTGTTAATCATTATCCTTCTTTTCTCTTAGCGCCAACAGAAAGGTAGGGTTTCCTTAATGCAGTTACAGTACATACAGTACTTTCTTTAGCCTGCAACACTAGCAGTAGGGAGACGGCACTGCAATGCAGAGATACTCCTCAGCCCCACAGCTTGAAGAGGGCAAACAGCTGAATCTACACTATACAGTATACTGTAAATGTATACTACACAAGCAGTATATCTTTAAACAAATTGGAGCTCTCGGCAAACTGACCAAAAACTGTGCTCATTCTTTATGCTTTCACTTTTTTATGAACTATATTTTGGTATTAGTGTATATATTCAAATTTAAATACATATGGAGTTCATACAAGGAAATTACAGTATTCAAATCACACATCTTAGCTTGCCTTGCTTATGCAGAACCATTATCTAATTAGTTGTACTTCTGTAGTTAATTAAACACACATTTATTCCTGGCCAGAGCCTCAAATAGTGAGCCGGTCCAACTTCTGTTACTTCATTAATGAACTGGTTCTTTGATATGCTATTGGCATTAGATGTCTGTACTACTTCAATTCACTCTTCATTGGTCTTCCAGCAACCACTGGGTTGAGTCCATCTGATGCAAAATACAATAAATCTGCCACTCTTTTGGCCAGTTGTGATAACATTACCTCTCAGCTGGTCCTACAACACTTGTTATTCTGAAGTAAATATATGTGAATATTTGTTTTTGTTAGTCTAGGTCAGTGCCCCCATTCTCTGGAATTCCTTTTTGAACTTGTGTTCAAAATCCTGCTATTCTTCAGCTTACCTTCACCTATCCTTCGTTTACGTCTAGATACAATCCCACCTTTTCACCTTGGCTTTCCCCTCAAAATGTTCAGGGAAGCCAACTTTATATATTACTACAGCGTATAAGTTGTTTATATATTATCTGTTGTATTATGTTTTTAATGTACTGTACAGTGCTTTCTGGAGGAAACTTTCCTCGAAGAGTGCGGCATTAGATTAAGTTAGATTGAACAGTGTTACTTCAAGAGTAAAACCAATTACATCACATCCATTCCTGCTGTGCTGATAACAGCACCTTCTGCCCATCTTTCAGTTCTGCACGTTAACATCTGATCGCCTGCATTTTTCTCCATTTACACTTCACCTGCATGAGAACTTGGGACCTAATTTACACTGCATTCTGCCTCTGCATTAGCTTTCACTTCTTAAGCAGACTTGTAGAAGGATGTCACTTTTTTTTACCGCTGTCTGACACTGACGTCAATAAATGCACTTAAGACTATAATTTCTTCACTACATCCAGTGTCTACAGACAGAATATAAGTTCTCAGCCAGACACTAAACATAACTGCGGACAAGAGACTTGAATCCAAAATGAGATCACAGTCATTCTATATTAGTGTTAATCATTGAAATATACTTGGAATATGATGAATATGTGTGGATGAGTCTGCAGATAGATATGTCTCTTTGGGGAATATGACTGACTCTAAAGGTGGCAGCTGTAGCAGCATGAGACATAATTGCCCAGATACATTGCTCTGTTTTCACAGTAGCCATTACCTCCATTGGTTTTTCCATTTCCATCTCCAAATCTTATTAGTTCATTTGAAACCTGATTTAGATTTAGAATATCTATTGTCCTTATTCCATTGAAATGCCTCAAAATACACCATGTATGCATACAATTCAGATTTCATTTTAACCTAGTTCAAAGAATTTTCTGACTCACGTTTTTGGATATACTGTATACGTTTTCAAGGATGCAGAATGGAAATACAAGAATATATCACAGTTACTGTAACTACAACATACATTTTAGGTGCACACAACGAAATCTGTATGACTCCCTCAGCTCAAGGTCAACCTCCACTGCCAGGAAAGCTGTCCCTTTCCCTTGTGAATGATTCGCTTTGTGTTCTCTAGCTATTTTATTACACTTCCACAGAGCCCAGGCTCTCATCAATCTTTATCAGTGTGAAAAAAACCTGAACAACCCCCCCCCCCAGCTTTCACTGTGTCCTTTTGATCGATGGAGGACGGCATTTTTGAACATTTTTATCCAGGCCAGCATCTCCATCTGTTAATGTGCCAGGAGTTTTCTGCCCCCCAGTAAGAAGAGAAGCAGAGGCAACATGCCCATGCCACGGTGAAAACTTTCAACTCTTCTCCAAATAATTGAAGAGACCAGTTTTAACTCTCCAGGCTGTCATAACCAGAGCCACTTGCACAAATTAATGGACTCTTCAAGTAATTCAGAGTGGTGTCACAACACAAGACAGCTGAAAAAGTCAAGACTACAGTATAGTCTAATTTTGCACATTGCAAAATTTGCACATTATAGTACATTATCCTATTTAATAGCTATTTTACTGTGTACTACTGTACCTGCAGTCAATGTCTTTTATTAGATTAAAGCCAGTGTAATCTTACACTTACAATTACAATTGGTAATAGGTCAAATTATTTTTTTTCTTGAAAACTTTTTTTATCTTATCTGAAAAGTACATTTCCCTGAATAAATAAAATCAAAACCTGTGGTTTTTTTTTCAGAAATTTGTATTTTATTACATTTTTCAGAAAGAGTATCCAGAAATGTGATGGATTATCTTAATGTCTTCCTTTTGTTATCCATAACCACTCATTTTTAGCTTAACTTCATTTGCTTAATTTTTTAAATAGCAACAGTATCTACAGAGTTCATAACCAACCAGTGTTACCATGGGATTCTGGTTTTTGGCAAAAACTGTATAAATATCTTTTGACTCCTTTTCCTTTTTATATTTTATAGGGTTGTGTCAGTGCTGGACAGCTAAATCAGTGTTTGACAATGCTGGAAGAATTTACTTACCTTCTGGCCGGTACTGTGCAATAATGGTCACTGTCTGTCCTGCTCCCTTTAAAGCTGCTGCTGCCTGTTCATGTGTAGCACCTCGCAGATCTATGCCATTTACCTAAAACGAGTTCAAGACACACTTCCTTTACAACAGATCTTGCAGTTCCATCGATTCTCAATAGCTGCAAGAATTGTAAACAACAAGATTAATGGAATCAGTTAGAAACACACAGACTGTGTCTGTTCTCAGGTTTTGGTTTTTGAAAAGAGGTTAATTATATCATAGACTATATGGGAGGCAGACAGGCAGAGACAGAGCAAGACAGATTGAAAAGATCAGAAGAGTATTCTTAGCATCCAAGTTGTCCAAACATTTGAAATAAAATCTTGAAGATTTTAACTTATCTGTTTGCCATAATTTCAAAATGTAAACAGGAGTGATATGAATCTCAGTTTTCCATTAAACCCTTCCCTAAGGTATCCTGGTGTTGTTCACTGCATCCCAAAATCTCATGTAATGTAACTTTCAATCAGGTCACATTTGTCCTAGACCTCCTTACAGTACGTCAATAAGTACAACTGAGGAAATATTACGTCTCTTGAGGAGGATTTTAATAATGCAAAGGGTTAATCTCCTACACCTTTGTGCCTGAGCTGTCACCCATTTTGGCAGCTTGTGCTTGGGCACTGAGACCAACAATTTTATGCAGATCAGTCATTATTAGAAATCAGAGCACTGACATGCCCCCTCTGCTACTTCTAATCAAGGGTGCCTGCTCTTCCCTCTTTGAAGTGGCATGCTTTGATTGTAATGAAAAGGAGTTTGATTTCCTTTAAATCAGCTTTCCTATCCAATGAAAAGAGGAATTATTTATCAAAGACCTTTTGCAGGGACATTTTGAAGAGGTTGTAATGTGATTAATAAAGGGAGCTATGTCTTTACCCTCAGCTAGAGTCACTCAACAAATACCTGTAAGGTAAAGATTATTAAAGGATCTTAAGGTTACTACAGTACTTATTATTCAGTGGAAGAGTCATATTATTTAAAGGATGTGGTGCAAAAGGCCTCACTGACACATTTGTCATTTTATTCATTCTGAATTTTTAGAATTTCACAAATACATAAGACAAGCCAAATAAAAGATAAAGGAAGAAGACGAACTGACAATTTCTGTGCAGTCATGTCCTCCTCTTCATTCACGCACAAAACCAATGTAATAGCACCACCTACAGAACTGCAGTTGTAATTTGTATTCTGAACAGTGCTGTATTTTTCAACTGCATCTTAAGAATAGGAATTTTGCCATTCTAGCAGAATAATAATTGAGCAGTAAAATTAAAACAAATTTAATAAAACACAATATAAAGTCATAAAAATACTAATTTCCATAATTGTAAGTAATAATTTCTGTGTCCATTTTGACCAATCGTATATAGTATAAATATATACCATTATGTAGTATATACAGTTAATCTAAGTTTATTATACCATATTACAATTCTAAAAATATGGCCAATAATATGTACCTTTGTTAGAGCTGAAAAATATCCATATCATGTTATAGAACATTTTAAGGCTGATAAACTCAAAGACAAATGCTGCCATCTGGTGGAATTTTAACCAAGAAAATGATTCCCAAGATGTCAAATTTTAAATTAAAACTGCATTTACTTCCATAATCATGCAGGTAGTTCTATATATAACTATACATAGTACATCCATTACAATACATAATGTGGCTACAATATGCAATATGGCCAAAAATGTTTTTTTTTTCTTGTCATTTGTATTTTTGCTTATTTTTTTCTTTTTCTACTGTATTTGAATGATTTCTTTCTTCCGTCGTTGGGTTTGACTTTATATATTGTAAGTCACCCCAGACAAGGGCGTCTGCTCCGTAAGACAATAACACCAAAAATACAAAAAAATCATATTTTAACACTCTTCTAAAAATAAGTAAAGAGTAAAAGAAGTTGAGATAGCTACGGAAAAGAGGTACAGGATTAGGGGGGAAAACAAACGAAAACCATCCCTTCAAGCACTTGTGAGGCAGACCTAGAAGAAGCCCAAGCTTGACTTACAGACAGGATCTGGTCTCCTCTTCGCAGCTCGCCACTCAGGTCTGCAGGTCCTCCCGCCAGGATGAAGGACACAAAGATTCCTTCCCCATCCTCGCCCCCCACAATGTTGAAGCCCAGGCCCGTTGAGCCCTTGTGCAGGACGATCTTCCGGGGTTCTCTGTACAAACATGCCAGATAGTACATATAGTCAGAAGCGTCTGCTCCACTGTGCATCTTAGTGAGAAATCCGCACAATCTACCAGTGGCATATGACCAACAGGGGATTGCTCTACTTAAATACCATTTGTCCTATTTTATTCTTCCTTAAGATACAGAATTAACTCTCTCTGCTCTATCAGTCTATTATCTCATGTACACACAAAGGCAGAGAAGAAAACACTCCCAGTGCATAGAGTGATAAGTTCATACTGTATGTAGCAAGACACTGATAGCCCAAGACACTGATAAACAGTGCTCTCAAGACCGTAGTCAAAGGAGAATGCAGAGTACCTCACTCCTGACTCAGGTTGGTTAGTAAGGCTAACTAGGCCAAATATAAAAAAAAAACCTTCATCTTTACCCAGTAGCCACCCTATTTTTAGAAACCTAGGTGGAACATTCAAGTTTATGCTTTTTCTTGAGTGGTTACACAGATGCCACTGACATGAATCCTGCTGTGTACTGCACAACATTAATTTCTAAGTGGGATTTACACAACTAGACTTCTTCTAGAAGAAGTATTTTATCAATATACATTTTAATCAATATATACAGTTTAGTCCTCCAAATATGTACTCAGAAAAATCAAAGAAAAAACATGAGTGCTTTAAGGGGAAGTGGATCAATTTTGAGTTAAACAGGACGGCTCAAAGCCGTCCACCCAAAGCATGGCCCCAATTACAGTATAGGAATTTATTGTAGAACTGAATGTTGTTGGAGATCCTGTTCTGGAATTTCTCATTTGACCTACTTGTTGAAATTTGGAGCTCAACCACCTCCCTAAGCCAAGTCAATTTAAATGGGCCAGTGCCCCTGCACAGCTGAAGACTCCAACCAGTACTCTTCCCTGCGGATCTGTGCACCTGATCCAGGACAGACTCATTAAAGAAGGTCAGCTTTCCTACCCAGAAACAGCTACATGCGTCACATAGAATGTAAGCCTTTAATTTCATATGATATGTTTTCCAATTTAAAATTAACAACAGTTTCTCCCATCATTAGCTCCATTCACTTTACATCTGCACACATGTATTTCATTGTGAACTTTGGCTGACGTACTGTACTGTATATCAAACCCAGTGAAAAACGTTTACATTTAAAATAGTGTTTCTATGCTTCGCTTCAGGCCAGGTGTCACAGGAAGGTCACACAGAAAACAGTGAAATGGTGAAATACTGTATTGCACCTGAAGCATGAAAAATGCAATGTCACAAATGGAAATTTATCTTGGACATCAATTTTCACATACTCATACTGATACTACATAAGGTAGGAACTGTGTGAAGGATCAATTTAACACAAAGTAAGAATATTGTATACAGTATATGTTGTATACAGAGCAATTGTCAACAGCAATAAATATACTTAATAAAAGATGTGTAATCTTGAACCATTCAGATAAATATGTTTTCCATTCCTTTAGAAGATATATTCTTACCATTTTTAAACACAGTCTACTACTAAAATTACAGATAATTAGGTTAAACTGAATGAAAAATATTAGGCACAGTACTGAAAAACAGAGACACAGGAAAAAACATTTCAAGCATGTTTATGATGGGTAATATTTCCTTTTTAAGAAATAGTGCAATTGCAATATCACACCAGTAGATGGCATTAGGATTTAGGAAATTAACATGAGAATGATAGTTGGCAAATACAGTATTCATATATTTATTATAGTAGCAATCACCCCTTGTTATTTAAACAGTTACTATAAAGTAAAAAAAAAAGCTAAGTGGAAAACACCACAAAGATAAAACGGGAAAATAACTATAAACAACAAAACACCTTCACTGTCAAAGCCAAAACAGAGTCCCCTTCAAGGTTTGGGTCATTAAAGCATGAGTAACGACTCCATGAACATCACAAAGATTTAGTTCTTGAACTGTCTAACACTAAAAGTTTCAAGTGTATGTTATTTATTGAAATTTTGAAAATGTGGTGACATTTTGTTCAGATTCAAAAGGAACTTCTCACTTCTTTTAATTAGTATACCTTAAAAGGGGTTCAGGTAAGCAGAAAATTGAAACCAGCCAATATCAGATGGTATATTATTGAGTAAGGTACTAAATTGAAATAAGAATCCTTTGTGACTGCTTAAAAGTTTTAGAGATTTTTATAAATCACCTTTCAGTGACAGATCAGTACAACCACAATTTCTGAGGCAGTGATATCTTCTAATAAAAATCCACTGAAAACAAATGCAGTAAATGAACATGCATACTGTCCACACATTTATATTTATAATGTATGTCTGTCCATAAATACTGTAGTCACATTATTTTTAAAAGTATTGGAATATTTACATACTGTATGGGACAAGACATACTAACATAAAAATAGAACACAAATTACAAGCTACATGTATGGAATATATCCAACTATGGTTTGATTTTCTCAAAAGACGTTTCCAACTCAGCAAAGTTAATTTATAAAGCTATTTCTTTCTCATATTACAGCAACTAAAAAAGCATTTAACAATAACAAATACAACATATATAGCCAGGAAAATATAAAAAAGCTAATTTACTAACTGTATGCATGAGTTTCCTGTTCCAACAAAGAATTCAATGCCTTCTTAATAGTAGGTAGAATAAATTACACATTTTAGGCAAAGAATAGCATTTAGTTTTACTTCCACAATTTCAGTTGTCATAAACTCAAAATAAACACGATGCATTGTCTATATTTTCAGTGCTTATTTTAAAATAACCTTTTATAGACAGATCTCGACCTTTAAAACTCATAAAGGCCAAATTCAGGCACTGCAATTGACCTTTTAAGAGTGAAAACTGGTGCTTAATATTTTCAACTTCCATTAGACATCATAACTCACTAAACTAAACTTTAAGAAAGGCAAGGGAATACAAAAGATACAGTAGGTGTGTTTCTTCACAACTGTTGTAAAGCCAAGCTATTAATCATGACAAATTAACTATTAGCTAACTTTTCTTTTTTCTCTAATTTGAGACTGATCTCAGTATTGCACGATATACAGGATGACAGAGTTATTTAAGTGAGAAAATGATTCGCATTTTTTTCCTTAGCTCTTGAGAACCCAGAGTGTGTAGCCTCCCTTCAAGTATCTATAAAAACACCTGGTTATTTTCCTACTTACTAACCAGCTTTCACCCTTCAAAAAACTCTGCAAGCTATTTCTAAGATTATACTTAAACAAAACAAAAATAGCCTCTTGTCATCTGTGTCCTAATTTTTTTTCGGCTAAACAGTAGGCTGCTGGTTATTTATCTCAAGCCCAGCTGAGTGCCCTACTTGTGTTGGAGAAATGTGTTCAGTACCTCCAATCAGGTCATACAGTGTCGAGTGGCACAGTCAGAGAATTCAGCATAAAAAAAATTATGCTGATTGAGACTGCAATCATATGCAACATGAGATTGAAGTAAAGAGTATATTGTGAATGTATATATACAGTATATTTTATTGATATTTAAATTCCAAACTATATTTCTGGCTCTAGGTACAGTATAGTTAAAAACCCTGTCCATCAGCAAGAAAATTCTGATTGCTGAATTCTTGCTTAGAAACATTCTCTTATCTTATATATGTACAGTACAGTAGTTCTCAATGCTGGTCTTGAGGGTCACTTATGTATGCAAGTTTTATTTCCAAACTAGACCCTTAATCACCAGTTCTAATTAGTTAACCTAATTGATGTGCTTGCCTGTTTCCACTTTTTTCTACATTCAGTCCATGGTTTCAGAAACATGCTAAAGTATAGCGTTTGAACAATTTCAGCATGCATAACTATATGCCATCCCTCCTCTACTTGATAATTATAAATTCCCTCTCTTTATGATGAATAGACACAGGTGGGGATGACAATGTATCAGACTCCTAAAACCTCAAGTAGAAAATTAAAATAAATGTGCCTGCAATTAAGCACTGCAAGACATTAAGCGATTATGCAAATATCTCTCTTTCATACTTTGTTGTTTGGACCACAGCCCACACATAGAATGAAATAAACAACCTGTAAACAGTATATAAATAGCACTAAGTCAGTAAGGATTGTGATCTAAAAAAGCAGTGTGTAACTGGCTTTCTCTTTTCTTATCCCTCCAAATTTCAGTTAAGAACTTCCATCAGTCATTTCCCTTTCATTGTCTAACAGTGTCCAATGTGATCTGTGAGACTCTTTACTTCATCCTTTTACTGTAGTAATATTCTTTCTCCTCTCACATTTCTACCTGTGCTTGTAATTCATTATACTGTGCCCCATTTCCTCAAGTGGATTATATTGTTTTAATTTATAAAGCTATTTATTTCTCATATTATTCATAATCAATGTATCAAATCATTTCAACCACTGCTTTCTAGTATTGGATTTGTTTACTCTTGGAATGAGTCTATTCTGTGGTTCAAGCAGAACCTTATTAAGCAGCTGCAAGCCATTCTCCACTGATTCCATCTTTATCCTGACCTATCTTTCATAGTCTGCTTTCCTGAAATTTTAATAATTTGTTTTGGGTTACCTACACAGTTTCAAAATGCTGTTTACTGTACTTCAAAAAACACTATATTAGGATCAGAGTTCCTTAATAATTCTCTGAGCGCCATTTTCTTCACTCTGTCTTCATTTCTGAAATTACTGGGTGAATCCTGGTATTTCTTCAAGTATTTGTCCTGAAAAACTGAGAATTTGAGATTCAGTTTCAGGTGCTGACATCTTTGATGATCTTTCCCAATCTATATGAGGAAAATTAAAATCTCTCATTATTAACGCATCTTCCTTTACATTTACAACCCTGATTTAATTCTATTTATTAGCATTAATATTTGATTGTGTCCATTTGCACTGACACTATGCTCTTTGCATGTTATTTAGAAGTCTGACCAACATTCTGAGAACATGGAAGATTCTTGTGGGTTAACCTCCTTCATCTGAATAATCTGATGCATGGTGCTATCCCTGCAACTATCCCATCTTTCCTGTCT